AGTGGATGAGCCAAGTACATGCTATAGGAAAATGGGTGCACCTTCGGGTGCTGCAGCTCCAGGTCGGCCCACGGTCGCATCCAAGTGGAACTCCGCAACACGGGTCTGGCTCTCGACCGCGGACGCTGCTGGTCGATCAAGTAGCTTGACGATGGACCACATACTAGAAGAAGAAACACATAGTGGTAATCCCGGTAATACACCGCCTGACAAGAAATGGATGGGCCTTGAAAAGGCGCTTTGCTGTACTCGTTTGTTGTTGAACTGAGTGTTCTCGTTATTTTACGGATTAAGGGTCCTATTTCTATCTGTACTCGTTTGTTCATGTCTTGCTACTGTCCATCCGGCGGGCTATTTTTGCTCACAAGGTCCCCAACGGTGAGGTCAGGATGGCGTGGGAAGCACGCTGCAACCAGCAAGGCTACACGTACTATGTCAACACAGAGACAGGTGCGTTTGCTGACAATAGGAGCAACATTGACCGTGTGGCTCACGCTCTAGTGTAGGAGTGATGCAGTGGGCCCCGCCCCCCTCGCCCCCCCTCACGACTGAGGCCATTGAGATTGTGGATGACGGCGCGCCATTCGACAGCGACTCGAGTTGCAGCGAAGCAGAAAACATCGAGGACGACGACGACGGTGATGATGACGATGATGAGGATGATGATCGATGCGAGACGCTTCTCAACTCGCGAGACCTCGACGAGACGCTGGGCTTGCCCCGCCTTGTGCAGACAAGTGTCTACCGCGCGCTGACCTGTGGGAACCGATTGGATCGTCGCGCATGGGCTTATGTTCGCGTGTTAGGGGTTGTGTGGGAAGTCTGGCAAAGCCACCGCGAACTCAGTGCGTACCTCACCCGAGCCACCCAGCGACTGCTTCACGGCTTGTCGCCAGCGTTTCTTCGGCCGTCCCGCGCGATGCTCGTGCATCCACATGCTATTCCGACTTCATTCATTCCAGCATCATCCCCGAAGAGCGCGGTTGTAGCCGATGTGAGCGATGACGTTGCGCCAAGCGACGACATGGCCTAACACAGAGCACGCTGATGGAATCGTTGCTTTGATTCTCGTGTATCGACCGAGCATTCTCTACAACTACTAAGATATTGTGATATTTCGGATGCAAGACAAGAAACAGCAGCAGGAAGAGCCCAAACTTTTTGTTGTGATGGTAAAAAGTGTCGAAAAACCTGCGTTTGTGGCTAGAGCTTGGACTTGAGTTGAAACATGCGGGGGGCGGCCATGCCGGCCGCGATGAACGCGAGGAGCCAGACGAAGGGGCCGACGACGGGCACCTGCACGAAGAACCCGAGCACGTACGAAAAGCCAAATAGCATCGCCGATTGGTCGGCTGCGATCGTGCACGGAATGCCTACGACGCAAGACCCATCTGTCGCATGCAATGTCAGCATGGACATGCGCACCATGCTCGGTGACGAGCTTCGTCTTGCGGGCAAAGACGGGGTAAAAGAGCTCCTTGGTCACCGCCCTAACCACAGTGCGGATCCATATCTTGATGCCATCATCATGCCATATACCGTGCGTCAAACCAAATTTTGGCGAGCTCGATCGCGATCGGACGGGTCCACGGCACCACGTACAAGCCAAATACAAGAGACGACATGACCATTTCCGTGCGTCGGATCCTAGGAGGATCGTGTCCATGGCTCTCGATTCATCTAGGATATGGATCGTATGGATATGATCCATGTACGCACTTGAAGCCGAACGCAGCGATCGCAAAGAGACTGCCAAAGAGAGGCGTCAAGAACGAACCCAATGCGAGGATGAGAAACAGCGCCGACCGGTACGCCAAGAACGTCGCCGTCGCGCGGAGGTAGTCCCAGTCAAAGAGAGACACGGGGATCTACGCCCATGTTGAGCCACGTACAACATGGACAGTGTACATACCGAGGAAAGGACGGGCACAAGGGATGCGTGCTCCTGCCCGAGCCCGAGAAAGAAGAGGTTGTCGACCAACGTCGGGTGGACATAGCGGCATCCAGCGATGAGTACGAAGGGCACGCCCGTGACCCACTTTTGAAACACGCTTGCGAGCAGCGCCGTGTACGGCCTATCCGACGACTCTGAGATAGATGACAGCCAAGACTACTATGTACGAAGCC